AGCCAGCTCTCCGGGGTCCAGATTCTTGGCGGATGTGTCTTGCTCCTCGCACATGACGGATGGTAAGAGGGAAAAGGAAGAGCCCAGAGTGTTGCGTGATGGAATCCAGGGTCGATGGTGGACAAAAGCATGGGGGGCTAGTCTGACGGCACATCATGTCATGTAGAGTATCCCTACTAGTAGGCCAACAAATATTCTAAATTTCATAGGCCTCGCATCAGACTATTAAGGGCTGAGCGGCTGGCACAGCTGTTAATTTTGTTCCCGTGCACACATCCATATGCCCACATTGAACGTTCAGGATAGTGGGTACCGTGTAGCTCGGGCTACAAAAAACTGCTCTCAACCACAAATGGGTAATTAAATATATTGTCTAGCTTGCGCAGTCGTCATGGTATTGGTCATGGAGAAGTTATGTCACGCTTTCTCAAATCTTGATGTACTGCTCAAAATGCTGCCTTTGTTAGGCAACAGGTATGACATTATTCCAGTCATTTAAACCGCCATTGTCAATTGGATATGGCAGTCATGCTTGTGCAGTCGCCACTTGTAAATCAAAAAATTTATCTTCCAAGACTTCATGATTTAGGTTGGAAATGCAGATTAGTTGAGTACAAAAATTGCATAGTAGAAGAGCGTTAGTATTTAGGCATTGTATTGCTGAGTGTCGGTAGATAATACAACGGTGGCATTGCAGAATTAGGTTTTTCTGTCAAACAGTTATCCTTGACAGGTTGTGCACCATTTTTGATCAAGAACTGGAGAATGGCACTCTCCATTGATGATCTGCAGATATACTACAAAGTACACTTAACAAGGGTAGTTTTAATCTTGAGTGGCATGGAGTAGTACAGCAAGAACTGCAAAGATCGCATTCTTTTTGTTTAATCAATGGAGTATTTCTTTGGAGGAGAAGTATATGAGTGTGTGCTGCTACTTTATTTGCAGGAGTACGAGTTTCTAAAGCATTGTGCTGCTAGATTCTTTGTATAGGAGTGTGATTATTTACATGGAGTATTTCTTATACTGCAGATTTGGAGTATTCAGCAAACTGAGAGATGCATCTTTACAATATATTTGCTCAGCTCGGTGCGGTGCGGTCTGAATTAAGTCTTGAAGCTTCTTGTTTGACTGTTAAACTGTTATTATTATCATCATAAAGCTAATGCATTAGAACATCTTAGCTCAATGCTGGCCTGTTCGAGCAAGGAAAAACAGTACTCACATGTCTGGCCCACATAAACATGCTCCGTTCTTTCGTTTCCTTTTTGTTTTGCCATTCATAGTCGGATCGACTAATTTGCTAAGATAACTTGTTACTCCATATTTTCTTCTATTTGAGGCAACTTGCTGCAGAGCCTACTGTGTATATATGTCCGCTATCATGTTAAAATCTGAATAGTGAAATCTCAGCACCTATATCTTCTGTTCATTCTTTGAATCTGCAAACATCCTATGTGCTGGTGTTTTCTTGGACTAGATAAACAACTTGTTGTCTTTTTTTTTTATGGGAAACAACTTGTTGTCTTAGCTGCATACATATGCATTTAACCCCCATTTTTTGATAGTTCCATTGCCTTTCTAATTGCAGATGCCTACTACTGAATCAAAGAACTAGAACTTGCAATACAAGATACTGAATCAAAAGCTAATTCTATGCTACTCCAGCAGTAAGTATCAAAACCGGCTAAGTTCATGTGAATTCAATTTCAACAGTGAATTTCAATTTCACTCACCTACTCCAGTAGTAGGGGCGGGGGCAGGGCGGCAAAGGAAGCATCAGCAGTGGTCGCCTCGCCGTCAGGGTAGATCCTTCTGGCCCTGACTGCTCAAGCCGGCAGAGAGAGAGAGAGAGTGAGCAGATGGAGACGGATGTGCGGGCGAAGGGGGAAGCAGGAAGATGGAGACAGAGCGATGCCCTCTCTCGGCTGCATTTTGGTCCAGCCTACTGCGAGGATCTCGTATTCCGTACATCGTCTTTCTCCCTCCTGGGTTCCCATGGTTCCTATGCTGCCGCGCTTCCCGCTCCTTTTCTTTTAGTGCTTTGACCCGAAGAGATAGCTTGACGTGTTTTCTGTGGCTAAGATGGCAGCGCTCCAGCTCAATAAAAAATGGGACGACAGTGGTCCGCTCGCTAGCTCGTTCTGATCCTGGACGCAGTACATTGGAATCCTGAAGCACCACAGCAACACTACCGTGCTTGCGCCTGCGGTGCGGTAAGGCACCACCCTGTTGTCCCAGCAGCTAACTCTGGCGTGTCAGCTTAGTTATCCTCATCAAGCCACAACTTTGATGTCTAGCTTCCCAAATGGTAACGGTCCCCTTTTCCCTGGGTCAATGAATAAGGGAAAAGTCAGTTGATTCTTCCGAAGAACCAGAAGCAAAGCGCTATGCCGGGGGAACTACAACATGTCAATTCCTTTCTGGACGGGAGTAATTATTTGAGTCGTGAACTTTATACAATTGCTCTAATGTTCCTTCGATTTGTGCCTGTTGTTATTCTTACGCTTGTCTTATTTCACCCTTTTGACCATACATATCATGCATGAGAAAAATATAAGAAGGGTCCGTTTGTGAAGTAGTGCATCTTGGTTGCTGGTTAATAGCATAACGCTCATGTGTTGTAACGGATCAACAAAGATGATTCAGTTTTATTTGATGGACTATGTTAATGTCCGACCGTTCGAAACATTAGCAACAGATCTGGACGAGTTTTGCATGCATGCAGTTGGTTTCTTTGAAAAAACCTGAGAACCCACACGGATTCTTTCCTCAATTGTTGCATGCATGCATATAAGACGAAAATAACGATGTCAGCATAGATTCCATCGAATTCAAAAATTCAAAATGTTTTGTAGCTCTAACCGTCACCCTGATTGGAAAACCGTTTTCACATAAAAGATTTGTCACGACGAGACCTTCAAAACTAGATCCCATGTTGATATGTTTCGACGACTTTTTTTTCGGGTCAAAAGTTACCAGCCCCACGTTAAGTAAGTTATCACATCTATGGTATATAAGTTATTTTCATGTTTACATGGAAATTACCGGAGCATAAAAATGACTCCTCCAATATTCTCTCCACATGCAAATGCAGTAGAGCACGGGAAACCTGATGTCATTGCAAAATCTCGCTATTTTCGAAACTGTAAAATGTTTTAGAGCTCAAACTGACATGTTTGATTGAAAAATTGTTTTCACATAAAAAATCCATCGCGATGAAAACTTCGAAACTAGATCTCATGTTGCATGTTTTGATCACTTTTTTGGTCAATAGTTACCGTAAAGTTGTCGTTTATGTTATATGTATACTAACATGTTGTTTATGCAGAAGTGACCGAAGATGTGTCTCAACGACTTCTTTCCCCTGAGCCAAATTTACGGTGGTATTTATACCTAAGTTATCAGCTTCGGATGCATAGATTACCATGTTATTTGCACAGAAGTAACCGGGGTATGTTTCAATAACTTTTTATTCGGGTCTTAAGTTATCGCGTTGGTTATACCGTAATTATCAGGTCAATGATGTGTGAGTTACCATGCTATTGACAAAAAATTACCAGAGGTATATTTCATTAACAACCCTTCATCACTGTTGCGAAAAGTTATCAGGACTGGGGCACATAAGTTATCAGGTCTGCAATGTGTGAGTTATCATGTTATTCACACAAAAAGTTACCAAGGGTATATTGCATCAACCACCCTCCCCCCTTCCGGTCACCAAAATTTATCAAGATTGGGGTACATTAGTTATCACGTCTACGATGTGTGAGTTAACGTCATATGCACATAAAAGTTATCGGGGGTATATCTCATCACCCCTCCCTCGTGAAAAGTACCACGACCGGGGTGCATAAGTTATCGGGTCTCCCG